GCCAAACGTTTTACTACATCCGGATAAAGCTAAAGGATAAGGAATTAATAACTTTCCGTACTAGTATAAAAACTTTTAAATATAAAGTATTACCGTTCGGTCTTATTAACAGACCAATTAACTTCTAAAGTTTCATTAATTCGGTTCTAGGCAAATACTTAAGCAATTTCTATACCGCTTACATTAACAATATTTTAATTTACTCCAATACTCTAAAAGATTATAAAAAGTATATCCAAAAAGTATTTCGAAGGCTAAAGGAGGCCGGGTTATAAAAGGACTTTAAAAAATATAAATTCTACATTATACAAACAAAATTACTAAATTTTATTATAAGAAGAGAAAGAGTTTTAATAAATTTAAAAAAAGTTGAAGGTATTAAAAAATAAGTAATACTTTTTAATTTAAAAAGAATCCAATCTTTCTTAAAATTCTACAACTTCTACCGTAAATTTATTAAAGACTACGGCCGCGTAGCGCGTCCCTTTACGAACTTGATACAAAAAGGAGAAGCGTTTACTTAAATTAATAAATACTAAACCACCTTTGAAGAATTTAAAAGATTATTTGTAGAAGCCCTATTATTAAAATATTTCCGTCATAATATATTATTATTGGTCTTATACATGCTAACTAACTATGTAGTCCACCCAGTGGGTATGCGGTGCTGCTTCCGTTCTTAGTCGGTGGGAAAAACCGTGCCGCAGCCGGCTGAAAACCCTCCGCTACCGTTATAATATGAAAATAAGGGTTAAAACGGATATTAGTAATAGAATATTAGCGGGAATATTATTTTAATTATAAAAGGATATTAGAACATAGTACCCGGTCATTTTCTTCTCAAAAGTTATATAAGGCGCCGAATATAACTACCCTATTTACAATAAAGAATTACTCGCTATTATTAAAGCCTTTTAAACGTAATAACCCGAATTCGTCGGCCTCCGGTAGAATAAACCGTTTATAAATATTACTAATTATTAAATATTCGAATATTTTAGTACGAAGCGCCTCCTTAACTTTCAATAGGCCGGATAAGTAGAATTCCTATCCTAATACTACTTCGAAATTACGTATCGGCCTAGTACGAGGAACGCAATAACGGACGCGCTTTCCCAAAAATCCGAAGATTTTAAAACTTAGAAGGATAAACATATACTATATATTCTAAATATTCAAACCGGTAGAAGAAGACGCAACCGAAGTTTCTATTATCGCTTTTATTATTACTGCTTCCGGCCTATTAGAAGAATCAATCCCAATTATAACTTTAAATATACATAAATTAAACCCCGTTAAACCGGAAGGATACGAATTAATAGATGTACTTATAAAAACTTAACCGAGAGGACGAATCCCTAGAAGAATATCGCGTCTATATTTATAATTTAGACCCCAACTTCGTAATACCAGCTCATAGATTTTTAATATATTAAAATCGTTTAATCGTCCCCGAAGTAAATAACTGTTGGAAGTCCGTGCCCTGGGCCGCCCATTCACCGGCTTTGCCCATTCACTGGGCCGTTCCATTACCAGCACTCCCTTCCAGGTATTTAGGCTGCCCTGGTTTTCGTTTCTCCTCTTCCGTTAGACAACTACAATCAAGCCCTTTTCGTTGTCGCCTTCCAGCCTCCATCAATAACTTATATACCCGTATTATCGACAAAACCTATTCGATATTAATTATAACTTATTTAAGAAAGAATAAAACTTAAATAGTTCTTAAAATATTATATTAGCAGTTATAGATAGCTAAAAATATTAATTGCTTTATTAAAAATCATATAATCTATAAAGCTAATAAAATCCTTAAGGATAAAATACCGGGGTTACTTCACCTAATTCCTTCGCTAGCCCGGAAATAGACGTTTATTATTATAAATTTTTAAAAAATACTAAAAAATAAATAAGATTTCGATAACGTATTAATAATAATTGACCGTCTATTAAAATCATCTTAGGTCACCCCGTATATAGAAAATACTATAATTCGCAACGCTACTCGAATATATTACGAAGGGCCTTACTAGGTTAATAATATACTAAAAGAAGTAATTTCGAATAAAGGACCGCAATTTACATTTATATTTATTAACGAAATATCAAAATTGATTAGAATAAAGTAGAAATTGGCTACCGTAGGATATAACTAAACGGCGGGCTAGGTAGAAATAATAAATGTTTATATCGACTAGTCATTATAACCGTTTATTAACTACTATTAAAATAATTAATCTAAAACTATCCCCGCCTTAAATACCGTATAGAACAATTTATTATAAAATAGCGTAAGCCTATCTCCTTACAAAAATATATTCGGACACGTAATAAAAATACCTTTTAATTAGGACGCCCGTACTTAAAACCCTAACGTACTGTAGATAGAATAGCTAACCCGGGAATAAACATAAAATTACGCCTAGTATATCCGGGGGTATATTAAATACGCTAGGGAAATAATATTAAAAGTATACGAATAATAGGCGGCGCAAACCAATAAGAAGCGGAAGGAACCCGGTTTTAAACTAGGCGATAAGGTTATTATTATTAAAAGATTCTAATTTACGACGATTTGACCTAGTAATAAGCTCGATTTCTCCAATACCTACAATTATTATAAAATTATTAAAAAAAGTAGGGCACTCTTACTATTTAGAATTACTAAAAAATTTAAAGGGTACCGACGTCTTTTACGCGGACTATTTACGAAAGTACAATAATAATCTACTCCCGGGACAAATTTTCGAATACCCTAGCCTAGTTAATATAAACGAAGACGGAGATCCCGAGTAGGAAGTTAATAAAATTATAATATTTAAAATAACCAATAGAAAATTCCTTTACTAAGCGGATTAAAGAAATTAGGACCCTAATCTAAAATAATACCCTACCTCTAACTTCAAATATATACCGAAGGCGCTTTAGGATTTTTACGAAGCTAACCCGGATACCCCGGGCCCGCCCGGGCGATTAATAAACTAGTTTAACGAAGATATAGATGGCATTTAATCTGGGGGCACCCGGGTCGTCTTACGGGGGCACCCAACCTTTTATGGGCACCCATATTTCAACCCTTGGCCAGTATTTTAGATGTAAAATAGTATTTACATTGTAAATTCCATCGTGTTATACGTATATGAAAAAAATCATAGGAATGTCCAGTAATATACTTTTATATGGAGATTTGTATGGCATACAATGTTTTGAATATGGGAGAGTCTATGGCATTTATTTATATACTTCGAATGATTATGCTACTGACTATGGGGAGTAGTCTCGTGATACTTTATATAGTATTTTGGTTAGAGGTTTCCCTAACCTTCTGATTGGGCCTGCTTATACGGGATCCTACGGCGGCATCTTGATGTACGATGCCCGTAGTGTTTTGAGGCATTAGGAAGTTAGTAAATGGTTCTGGTGATTGATGCGTTTAATATTTACGTACGTGCGATTGATTCTAGCCTGTTTTGGTGATTAAAGGTGGTCTGGTTGTAAAGAGGGAGTAAAAAGAAGGTTACTTTATAAAAAGATATAGGCATAGGAGGTCTACTGGGCGATTGGGCTTGGCACTGTCTTATACCGAAAGGGTGCTGTACGATTACTGTCTGGCTGTATTAAAGGGTTAAAAAAAATAATGTATACGTTAAACCCTAACCCGATGGGTGCCCCTATAAGGTTGGGTGCCCCCAGATTAAATGCCTTTATATAATATAATTCGAAGGAAATGAATAAATCGTAATACTTTATACTTATTTCTTTCTTATATTTAGTAAGGAGGCGTTAGAATAGCTCCCACCTTTATTTAGTCTTCGGATATTAATATTCGCTAGCTACCCGAATAAATTTATTTTTACAGAAATCGAAATCATTATTATCTTTTATTTTTAATTTAATAAAGTTCTAGAGCGTATTCTCCTTTTAACTAAAATTATAATACTAATACTTAAATCAAATCATTAAATTAAAATAGGTTTTAATTTAACTTGAGGAGGTTTCGTATAGGTATAGTATTGGATTATAATAGATATAGTCGGTTAAACGATTCTTAATATATAGAAATTTATTATAGTCGGTTAGGTAGTAATTAACATTAATTTCAAATTTATTTCAAATTATAGTATATTAGGCTTCGAAGGGAATATTATTTTCTTTATTCTAATTATAATATTTAATAGGATTAGTTTACTTAATACTACGGTAGTAGGAATTAGAATATTTTCCGTTATTAGGGTCGGTCTTAGGGGATAAGATCGAAAAGCGGGTAGAAGCCCTTAAAGGAGCTTCGCTAACGTTTCTTTCGATATTAGAGAATATTATTTCTTTCGCCTTTCCTTTATTTTTATTCTTTATTACGGGGCTACCGCCCAAAGGTTCATATCAGGCTCTGCAGCCTAACTGCCTACTTGTGACTCATGCCCTGTGGCTCGCGACGGCGCTGCGCCTCTATCCCCGAAGAAATAAAACGATATATAAAAATTAACCCCCTATATAAAAATTTAATTTATAAAGGTATAAAAAAAGAAGAATATAAATAACCTATTTAATAAACGAAATCCTTACTACCATTTCCCATTATATTCTAATTAGAAAGACCGGCTATAAAACCTCCCTCCTCCCGAATCTCCCCCTCCTTTAAAGGAAACTATTCAATAGGGTAATTGTGAATAGGCTGAACGACAACGAACGAATCAATGATGATGGTGATGTATTGAGTAGAGTAGAGGTCAGACTGTGTGTAAAGTCTGGAAGTCTAAAAGTAGGGCAAGGGAGGTCCCTGTGCGGTGGGGCCATGGCCAGTGAAGGGAGAAGGGAGCCATGGCTGGCCGCACGTGACACGGGACACCTCCAACAACTTTCCTAGATCCGTATATATACGAGCCGATATATACAACGTACGTATAAAGATTTATCGTCGCAATCTCAATAGCTATACCCTAATTAGCGCTTTAATTAAATTATTTAATGACAATAATATTAATTATATTAAGAAAATAGATCCAGAAGACCCAGAACGGTTATTAAGTCTCATCTTTACCTTCCCAGCCTATATATCGATGGTTAAAATATTCCCCGAAATTATAATTATTAATAATACGTACAATACCAACCGGTTCAACTATCCCTTTTACCAAATCTCGAACGTCTCCTCTATTAGCTCAATATTTAACTACATCTTTAGTATTATTAACGACGAAAAAGAAGTAGCCTTTAATTTCCTAATCGAAGCTACCTATAAAATAAGATCACAATATAATCTACCAGCCCCTTCTATTATTATTACAAACAAATACAAAGAGATGAAATAGGCTTTAAGGAATATCTTTCTTAATACCTAATAATAACTCTATTTATTTTATATTACTAGGAAGGTACTATTCAATACCACAAAGAAATAGAAGAAGTAAAAGCGGGATAACAATGAGGATAATTCCGAGGATAAAGAGGGTAAAAATGATTAGGAGAATCCGGTTTCTTTTAATCTAGCTAATCAAAGACTTTATTCATCCGTACGAACCAACAGCACCCCTAGCAAATCGACTGCTGGCAAATCGACTGCGGGCAATATCACTAAAATTACCAACAATCCCCATAGTATTGTAACCATATTTAAGCTCATAATATACGCCAAAGCCGAACCAAAGTTCTAGGCAACTTGGGAAAAGTTAAAGAAACAGTTTGAAGGTCAAATACTAATTCTTCAATACATCCAGAAGAACTAGCTCCCCATTAGAAATTAATAGGCACACTATTATATCAAAAAGTACAAGAACTATAGTATCAAAGTCACATCGCCAATTAAATCGAAGAACCTCAACATTAAAAGCTACCTTCTCAACAGTAATAACGATATTTATAAACTAGTTACTACTATCGTAAAAATAACTGCTAATTAACACTAGACCTTCAAAGAGAAAATCGCACGCCAATAAACCCGCTAGCGATAAGAGTATATCGACTGCACGTATCTAAGTAAACTACCGCTACAAATTAACTACGTTACCTTAGGAATTATCAACAACGAATACCTTCAAACGGATAAATATATCCCAACCGACCAGCGCAAACACCCGCCTACCCTCGAACCCTACAGTAATAAGTACAACGTCCCTAGCCAATATAGACTGCCTTACCGTCATACTATCTTCGACCGAGTAACTACAAGGAAGACTCTGAAACTCACTCACGTACACCCTCGCTAGCATTACAAAGAGCCCCTTATACGTACTCTATTTATTATTCTATATATAATTACTAACTAGTGGTCTTTCTACAGGATCTTCACAATTTCTACCTTCGCCTTCGAGACCCTCGCATTGCTCCCAAGAAGAAAGGCCGCCCCAAGAACTCTACCAAAACTATCCCTAACGAGCACACCCTTCCTATAGAAACAAAGCAGAAGACTCCCAAGACCCCCAAGACCCCCAAGAAGCCGAAAGAGAAGGCCACATCTACACCTAATTCAAAGAAGGGAAGCAAGAAGGCTACACCAGCGTCAAAGAGCAAGAAAGGAGGCAAGAAGGTTAAACCCATCAAACAGAACAACCTCAACAACATGCCTCGCTTGCAGCCAAATATTCGGCGCAAGCTGTCTCACTAGGAGAGCGATAATAGCAGTACTAACGAGCTTGCTCCCAGCTCTACTAAACGCAAGCGCGTGCGGGAGCCGGTTAGCTCTAATACTTCAAACTATAATAGCGAATCGGAAGCAACATCAGGAAGCGATCCAAAGCTAGTAGTACTAAATTGTATTCAAGTGGCTGCACCAGAGCCAAAATCAGACTCAAACTCCAACTCAGACTCTCTACTCCCGCTTCTAGAGCTCCCGCCTCTAGAGCTCCCGCGTCTAAAACTCTCTCCAAAGCTCTCTCCAAAGCTCTCTCTAGAGCTAGAACTACAACTAGAATTCTTACCCTCTACAAAGCCCTCTCCAGAACCAGAGCCAGAGCCGGAGCCAGAACCAGAGCCAAAGTACGACTTCTCGTCTAAAGAGCAATGGCTAGAGCAATGGTGGTCCTCTCCAGAGCTAGTGCTAGATTGTATTCAAGTGGTTGTACTAGAGCTCTCGTCTCTAGAGCCAGAGTCAAGCTCTATTCCAAGTAGTTACACCAGAGTCAAGCTCCCCTGTTAAGTAAGCGGTCAAACGTAAGAGAGGTAGGGCAGCTAGCTCTCAAGTCTTACCAGCCCCCAAGGTTACACGAAGTGGTCGTATAAGCAAACCCAGTCAACAACACTAGAGGTAGAATTTGAAACACCATGCCAAGTATCACGAGATTCAGTTTAGTACCATAGTCTTTTGTAGTGTAAATGAATGCCATAGAACTATCCTATGTGCAAAATATTGTGTACTATAGAAATCCCCATACAAAACTATGTCCCTGGGCATCGCTGTGATTTTTCATGTTCACGTAACACTATGGAATTTACCATGTAAATGCTATTTTATATCAAAATGTCTTGGACTCGTAGGCATAAGAAGTATATTGATTGTGCTAAACTAGAGAGGAAGAGGAAAGGAAATGTAGAGGGTTAAAGTATATAGTAGTGCGGGCTGACTAGGCCTACGTAATAAATAATATAATACTAGTGAATAGTAGGGAGGTGGGATAGGCCCTACCGTAATACGCCCCCGTAGCCCGAAACGGGTTCTAAAGACTTATTACCAATAAATAAATAAAATATTTATAGTATTAAATACATATACAGATCTCAATTAAGCCTATAGAACAACCCTTTCCTCCAATCCTAATAATTTAACGAATCTCGCATACTTATCCGCCTTCAATAATTTCGTTAATCTATTTATAATCATATCCTCCCCTTTAATGTAAATAATCTCGAACTCCTTTATTTCCACCTATTCTATAATCCATTTGAACCGTACATGCATACATCGATTACGGCCAGAATTATTACAGTTCAATACCCGGTCCCTTGCATTCTTACTATCTATATAAAGGACCTTTAAAGGTAATTGGCCATACCCTAATTCCTCTATTATATATATAATCTATTACAATAATTTAATTATCGGTATAAAATTAGTAAACTCCGCTTCTATTATACTCGTAGTCACGAATACCTATTTCTTCGACTTCTAATATACTAATCCTCCAACAATAAATACAATATAGTCTCCAATACTATCACGGGTCATAAGATCATCAGTATAGGAAGCATCCCCGAATACCTTCATATCTATATTCGCTAGGGAAAGCTTTCCTCCCAAAACAATTCCCATATCCGTATTCTTAATCAATTACCGAAATAAGTATTTCATAACAAATAGAGAACTAAAAATAAGCTTTACGTTAGCCTTATACAATTTGTTAACGGTAAAAGTAATATTAGGCCGGGTACCTATCGATAAGTAATTTAAATTGCCTATCCTTTTAATATACGATTTCTATTACTCTAGGAACTTATCCCCTATCTTATAGTCCCCAACCTTCATATTTTATGGCCATAATATATTAATTCTATATAAATTATTGTATCCGAACTTCTTAATCAGTATTCTAATATATCTAGCTTAGGAAATAAATATAGTATATTCCTTCCGATTCCTCACTATATTAAATCCCAAGAAGGTTTTTACTTCTCCTAAATATTTAAACTTAAAATACTAAAGCAAATAATCTCTAATCTCAAAAATTACCGTTTTTAATAATACTACGATTAGGAAATCGTCTATATATAGTACTAAAAGGGCTCCCAATTTTCCGTTACTAAATGAGTATGTATCCGAACTCACTAATTTAAAGCCTAAATACCTCAATACTAATAATAAAATATTGAACCAATAAAATAGATTACTTTTAAGGCTATAGTACCCTACGTAGTAAATAAACTAATCGGTTAATACCCTTCGGTCCCTTCTCTAGCCCTATTAATTACTCTACGTAATATCTCTTCCCGGGAAGTATTATAATATTTAAGAACGCCGTATTAAAATTAAATTAATAATAATTAAAATCTAGAATTACTATAATAGCTAAAAAAATCTTTACGCTCGTTACGTTTACTACCGCCGTATAAATATCTTTAATATCTTAAGAACCGTACTTAAAAAAATTACCGTAAATAACCTAACGCGCCCTCGGGTCGGTTATTTTCTAATCCCCGTTTATATTCTCCTTTTTATTATATACTTATTTTCTAAGTAGAATCTCTATACTTTCTTCGAAGGGGATTAAGTTGTAAATACCCCGCTCCTCTAATACTACCAACTATTTCTCCATTGCCGGTTTCTAATAAGATTCGAAGTTTTCGCGTTTTTTGGCCTATCGATAATTCTTAGGAATAGTCGGACCAGAATTAAGGTCGTACATTACTTTAACGGCCGTAAAGTATAGGATCTCTACGTTTTATTAAATTTCCCCCCTCTCTAGTAAGCTATAATAAAACTATAGAATTTCTATATTTATTAACCAATCATTATTATCTACTACCTTTAACCGATCTATTATAGAATTTAATATTAGTACTACCCGTCGAAAATAATATATTCTACCCGGCGGCGCCCCCGAAGATCCTTCAAATTATTCTATCGTTATCGTTTCCGTTTCCGTTATTATTATTTCCGGTCCTATATTAGCTTAACGTTAATTTATTATTAGGGCTTCCAATTCTATAAATAATAAGTCTTCGGCCGGAGGTTCCGCCTCCGTATCCGATATAAATTACTATACCCGAAGAGGTTTTAAAGGGGTATTTATTAAAGGGTCTAGCGACAACTACTTCGTATTTTTTATTAGGATTGGTTTTTCCTCGTCCAAATTATAGGGATTAATAAATAGGGAGTTATTAAAAGGTTTACATTCCTCCTTTTCATCTATAAATAATTAGAATTTATCATCGTCGTCCTATTTAATCGACGTTACCATTTCCAAATTCAATAGCGTTACTCTCTATAAAACCCTTAGAATCCCCTATATCCCTAATTTCTCTAATATTTGCCTTAGTAGGGTTTATCTTCCCTCCAGGCCTAGAATTTATTGTCCTGGACCTAAAAGTATCTCTATCAGACTTGAAGTTTATTATTTCGGGCCTAGAATTTCGTCCCTCGGTCTTAGTATTTATTTTATTAAACCTAATAATAGTATTAATAGTCTTAAACTTAGTATTTCGGGGGAAATTAGCGAAGGTATTCTCTATAGGGTTATTTATTTCCGTTCTATCGGTTTTAGCGTAGGCATTACGTTTAGAAATAGTATAATTAAAGATAATTTAATAGTTATCGGTTTTATATTTATAACTAAGTTGATTATTAGCTTTTCTAACGCCTTCTTTAATTCCTTTTAATCAT